ATATTTTATATGCGGTTTCCATGTAATGTTCTCGTCGAGAACCACTCCTAAAAATTTAGTAACAAAATCTCTTTTTATTTCAACTTTATCAATAAATATTTTGGGCAAATTTTGGGGTAAATAGCGTTTTTAAGAGAGTGAATGGAAAAGAACCCATTTCGTTTTATTAATGTTAAGAGTTAACTAGTTACATTTGAACCAAGTAGATATGTCTTTAAGTTCATCATTCATTGTAGAAAAGAGTTTGGGTATGTCATTATTAGTCAGAAATAAGTTGGTGTCGTCAGCAAACATGATACTCATTAAGTTTGAGGCTTTATTAAAGTCATTAATAAAAAACAAAAATGGCCCCAAGATAGAACCTTGGGGAACACCACAGGAAATATTTAGTAGATGGCTTTGGTTATAGTTATTAATAAAAACAAATTGTTTGCGGTTTGATAAGTAATTACGAAGCCATTTTATAGTTATATAGTTTAATCCGTAGTATTTTAGTTTTTCAAACAGGATTTCATGGTCGACAGTATCAAAAGCTTGTGACAAGTCAATAAAAACACCTAATGTAAATTGGGATCTTTGAAAGGAATTTGAGATTTCTCGCACAAATCTCATAAATAAAAATTTAACTAAATGAAAAAGTACAGCCATATATATATATATATATATATATATATATATATATATATATATATATATATATATATATATATATATATATATATATATATATATATATATATATATATATATATATATATATATATATATATATATTTCAATCAAGAAAAGCTGTTAAAATTACAAAATACAAAAACAACAATAGAATGGGTTCTGACGTCAAAACAAAACAAAAAGTAACGTAGAAACTGGATTAATCACCGGTATCGAAATAAGCCAGAAATACGCCTGCACTTAGATATTATTTCACTCCTTGTATTTAATAAGTTTGGATTTCTAAAGAATAGAATTTCATATTTTCCATTTAATCATAAATAGATTTTTTGTAGAGTTATAAGCATTGGACTGTTTAATTATTTTCCATTTAACTATAGGATTCAAATTAGCTTCCTTTAATTTCCAAAACTCCTTTGATAACTCAGTGTCATTTTAATACCTGAGAATATTAAATGATTTTATGTGCTTAGCGTATCTAATTTTGAAAGGTGTTTCACTTATACCGATGTAAAAGGTTAAATTAGTTTTTGAAGGTTAAATTAGTTTGGTATATGATGTTATTTGTTAAGCATTTGTTTGCTAAAGGTCAGTTCTATTTATCAAGGCATTTGCAGTTGCTTTTAGTGGTAATTTTGTTGTTGTTTAAAATATGACGATTGTGTATTTAAGATAGATTTCATATTTGGCATTCAGCTGTAACTTACTTTTATTGTGTTTCTATTGAAAATCTTATGGAGCTTGTGATTAACAGGGAAGTGCTTATCGATAAGGATTAAATTTTTTCCTATATTTGTGCTAACGTTTTTGCTGAAAGGGGGGTTAAACCAAATGATATTGCGTTTATGGTGCTTAGCATGAGTTGAATTTCAGTTAGGATGATAAGAAAGCTTATGAACGAAACCTGATTTGAACAATGCTTCGTTATACATGTCAGTAAAATTTTGAAAAATTTCTTCGCTTGACCAATTTGCAGATAATCTTAACTCGATAGAACGCGGAAGTTATTTTAAAATACTGGGTGGATGGTTTGAATCAACGTGAATATAGTTTAAAGAGTTTCGGGTTTGGAATACGGTTGGAAAATGTGGTTATTGAGATTTAGCGTGATGTCCAGATAATTTACAATTTTCATGTTGCATTGTGTTGATATAAGTAGATTGTTTTGTTTAAATATATCGACAGTATGTTTTCAGTGTAATTTTTTCCATTTCAGGTCCACTTCTATTCAAAAACCGCTAAACCATTGTCCTGGTATAATCCAAGTTCATTTTTATTGTAAAATTGCGAAAACTATATATATATATATATACATATATATATATATATATATATATATATATATATATATATATATATATATATATATATATATATGTATATATATATATATATGTATATATATATATATATGTATATATATATATATATATATATATATATATATATATATATATATATATATATATATATATATATATATATATATATATATATATATATATATATATATATATATATATATATATATATATATATATATATATATATAGCTTGTACGAAATTGTGAAAAACGACAAAACTTTTTTTCAAATAGAGTTGCTGTCCCATGGAATGCGCTTTCCCAAGCAGTAGTGAACGCTCCATCTATCTATGCTTTCAAAAACAGTTTAACAAAGTAACTTTTAGAGACACAAATGTTGCTTTGTCTGTAGCTTCTGTGTTTTTTATTTTCTTCAGCATAGAAGGGCCTGGTGTAGGACCTCTTCATCAAACTTTAAACAGATTTATTGTTTTTGTTTTTTTATCTTTGAATATTAATAATAAT